AGACAGACAGACAGACAGACAGACAGACAGACAGACAGACAGACAGACAGACAGAGTCAGAGACACGGAGAGACAGAGAGAAAGAGACAGAGAGAGACAGCGCAATACAGACAGACAGACAAAGAAAGAGCGACAGAAAGAGACAGATAGATAGAGGAAGTGATGGGGACTAGGACTGGTGAAGATAAAGTACACGGTGGACTATAAAAAAAAGTACACAGACAGCCTCATGAAACTTTCAACAAAATTCATGAGCCGTGCCACTGTATACAGGTAATCAGAAGGGCCCCACGTGAAAATGGGGTAGGCGGGGGTGGGGGTGGGGGAAGGGGGGATGCTTGGGTGGTTATAGAGATAACAAAAGAACAAAGCAAAACAGAAACAAAAGCCAAAGAGTGCAGCAACCTGTCATGATAATTGCATTGGTTGCAAGTACGTGGGGGTGGGGGTTTCGGATTTTTAAATATGTCCGTTTTTTTCTATTTTTGGGGGCCCGCATGGGAAGGGGGGGGGGGGGTAAATAAGAGGAAAATATCTTCGTAACAACAACGCAAAGGAATTGTAACCAGTGCTTCATTTACCTATAGACCGTAGTAGTAACAATGTAGTCTTTGGTTTCTTATAAACTTATTTATGACGAAAAGTTACTTTTAATCTGCCACTACGTATGACGTAGTTAGAGGTGTGAATTAAATGCCCCGTTCGGCTCTTAGAATGGACATGTTAAACTGAGCTAAGGTAACGGGTCTCTTAACTTCGTAAAAACAATAAGTTATTTTAAGGTATACATGTATGTGTTTTTATAACTTCATCGACACAATGTAGATCAGTTATTAGGAAACGGGCCTTGACCCTGCCGTTAGAAAAAACCCAGGCTGACAGGGATTCAACCTCATTCTAGCAGAAAGACCGAGATATTCGTCAACCCCCCTCCCTCCCGACACACACACATGAATCGAACTTTGGTCATCTGCTTGAAACGAATAGGCGTCTAACCACTGCAACACAGACGCCCGTCCACATCTTATAAGTATGGAGAACAGTAATGAATTCATGTGCCTTTTAGCGCTGTCAGGTTACAGAAAGGGTTTTATTACCGCCTTACATACGCCAGTGTGGGTCAATCTCTAAATAAAGCGCACCTTCAGCTCATCTGGTATCCTGCTGGAGTACGGGGCAGATTTTGATTCGATTCCCGGACTGAACGCTCTGAATTTGGATTACTGAGGAGTATTTCAAGGCTCTCTCCACCCACAAGGCTTAGTAATATCGGAGATAGACGTCAAATTCAGGGGTCCTGCCTCTTAAATAACCTAACGGCTTTGAAAAGGGAGTTAAACCAAAACAATAAACAGAGAATCGCCGATAGAACAGGGCCGTAAAAACACCCCCAATAACCAACACTTGTTCAATAACGGCCCGTTCCAGATTGGAACCAGTTTTGTCGATGCTCTGCGTGAAACTTATCAAGTACACAAAAAAGACGTGATTAGCAGAACGCACAGCAGCTTTCAACCCCTGAAAGAGTTGGGGATTTTTAAAAGCAAAACCGGCACAACTCTGAACCGGTGCTTGTCAATCTTTCTATAGCCAGCCAGCGCCCACTTTTGACACATTTAAGTGGCAAATATTTTTGTACCACCCACCTACATGGACTTCCAGGCGAGGCATGAAAAAACACCTGCTGTCTCTACCCGGGTGTTCCCCACCGCCCACCGACATTTCCACAACGCCCTCTTGTGTGGGATGCTACCCAGGTAGGTAGCAAGCATTGCTCTAATAAAAGCGTTTATAAACGGTGTTTTATTTATTGTTATATTTGTCCTTTCCAAGAGGCTCTTGATTCTTTCTTTTTACAATATTAATATCATTCTGATTCAACGAAAAGGGTTCTGCGGGGGGAGACAGAGGCGCCATCTGGGCCGTTCGTTCCCTGATCTCTGTGCGCGGCAATCTGATACAACTCGCTACTTCAGTATTATTAAGTTTTATCTGACAGTTTTAGCTGTTTCGAGTTACTAAGACCATGAGGTCAGAAACCAAATGTCCTATCTGCTCTATCAAAATCGAAAGACTATTCAGTTTTTATCAAGATTTTCAAGGAATTGCATTAAAAAAAGCTTGACATTTTGTGAAACTCAAAAATATTTACGTCAAATTTCTCAAAACTAGGTTCTGAGCAGATATAACTTTGTAATTCGAAGACATCGAACTTACGCTCTTCAACTTTGGAATCTTGCACTGAATGAACTTTAGAGGACCCCCTCCACGGCTCCTCCGCCAATTTTCACCCTCATCCATAACTTAAAAGTAGAAAAAAATCTTTTATAGTTTTATTACGCTCGCTTGATGGTTATCTAGAGACCTCACATCTCATTCAGAGGACCAAAAAAATCTAGACTTACCCCCTCCAGCTAAAGACAAAAGAAAAAAGGGTAGCATGACGCCATATACATTGAGATAACGAAATAACAGCTTTACCTTTTTGTCTCGGTAATAATACACTTCCATACAAAACGGATCAGGGCGGGTCATTTTCTGAAAATGAATCTATTTATTCAAATTTTGCACCTGCTCGTTTTATTTTAGACTTGACTTTTACAACTGAGGTATTAAATTACGTGTTGCTTTCGCTCTACTTTTTTTTTTTTTACCTTACCACCTACATGTTCGCAATCCTCTCAAATGAATAAGAACATTTCATTGTTATTCACTTTCACATAACAGCAGGGGTGGTCTAAAAAAACGTTCCATACAATGGGGAATGAATATTTCCACAACCTAGTAGATTTTAAAAGGTGTCGTTTATCGCTGTGGAGTATGGGCTTGTGTCAAAGCCTACGGTATAACGAGCATATGCATCACTGATCCTCAGTGTGTTCATTTTTATGATTAAACTATAAAACTACCTTTTCTCTCTCTCTCTCTCTCTCTCTCTCTCTCTCTCTCTCTCTCTCTCTCTCTCTCTCTCTCTCTTTCCCTCTTTCCCTCTTTCCCTCTCTCATCCTCTCTCCCTATATCGTATTCTTTTTCTCTCTTGAAGGGTCTCTTTATCTGCTGTCATTCTGTAAGAATAAAAAATTGTTTTCGAACCTCTTAAAGTTAGAAACGCTATGAAAAAAACCCCATGAACGTCCATATACACTAAGTTCTCAACACAAATAAGACCTAATGCAAAGAAATTATGAACACATAAATATGACATTGTATCTAGCCTCTGAAATCTTAAGGTTTATCCTGCTGCAACAATGTGATTGAGTCGCGTTTTTAAGTCAGATTCACGAAGTAAAAGACGCGAGAACACACAAAACATACACATATTATTAGTACGACGTCAAACAATGTCAACAAAAACATCGCCACTACAAAACCAATAAAGATACATAACTTTCACTTTGATTTTTGTTTTCACACAAGCTTTTGCGAAGAGGACGCCACCGAATTTTGACGACACTTTCATAATTGGCTCAAAGAGAGTAGTGGACCATCTTGTTATGTATCATCATTGACAAAACACAAGAGCCGGTAGAATCGATTCGACGGGTGGGAAAGTGAAGTTTGAGAAACAAGTTTGTACATTATCAGTTTGCCTTCGGGTCACACACTTAGCTTCGACAGTTGCAAGAGCACAGCATGCAGTATGTAATAATAATATGGTCTCAAAGCTTTCAAATTCATTTATTTATTGTTCATAAGTTTCATAATTTGAATTTATATGGAGAGATTCTCTCTCTCTCTCTCTCTCTCTCTCTCTCTCTCTCTCTCTCTCTCTCTCTCTCTCTCTCTCTCTGTGTCTCCCTCCCTCCCTTTGTCTCTCTCCCTGTCATTCTTTCACATACATACACAAACAAACATACCCACACAAGATAACACGCACATGCAACAGCACACATACATACACACACAACTAAGACAAATAGCAACATTAATATCACGGTTTGTACAAGTTCTTGTAGCTATAAAAAGGACGAGTGTTTCCGACCTCCAGACTCATGGTGAATGTGAACATGTATTGACAGGAAAACACACAATACTTAAAGGGGGGGGGGGGGCTGCATTTGCAACAGTAGAAACATTTACGACTAGGGGTCTATTGCCTTTCTTCCAAGAATTCATCTGAACTTCTGCCGTTCTCTCTGCATACAATTGTCGTAAATTAGTCACTAGTATGTGACTGCAGCTCTTTCAAATAAACTAGTTTTGGTGCATAATGTGGAAGAAGTCAATCAAGAAAACAAAACGAAGGAAAACATGAAAAATTGTGACTTAAGTGCCATTTCTGCCTTATATTATTCCTACAAAATAAACAATGACGCCATTCTGCTAATATTATGTTACGCTACAAGTTGACCATGCTATGAAAATCGTGCATGCTTCCATACTCAGTGTTTACGGCATAAGGGTGATGATGGTGGGAATGATGATGAGGATGATGAGGATGTAGCTGGTGCGACTGATGTGGATACATGTCCGGATTGAAGGAGTAACCCCTTGCTGTAGGAGCAGTACCATAGCCTCCTCCGTAGTACTGACCATAGCCCTGCATGGCTCCGTGATTGGTCATGGTGAGGTCAGCGCCCCCGTGAACCCCGCGGGCCAGACCCCCCGCCAGGAGGTTGTAAGCGTTGTTGGAGCCGGGCGCCATTCTCTGTTGGTGTGGTTGGGGGCCCGTCTCGCGCTGCATTCCGTGGTTTTCATTTCTGCTTGGGGTGTCGAGTTGGCAGGCGAAGTTGTCCACTTGGACGTACGGCGGGGTCAGTCTCGTTGTGGGGTTTTTGCAGGCGATGAATGGACTGGGCCCGGTATTGTAGACGCTATAGCCTCGCTCGAACTCTTCTTTTGATGGGGTTGTCGGCCCGTTGTAGTACACAGCCCCGCCACCTCCGGTACCACTGCTGCTGGTAGCAACGGCACCGCTACCATTGTATTGTTGTTGGAGGTGGGGGTGTTGGTGGTGGGGGTAGAATGAGGCGGAGTTGTTCAAGTAAGCGTTGTGAGCATGCAGTGATGTCATCTGCTCCTGGTTTTGTCTGTCCATCCCCGACTCATTCTGTCTGTCAATTCTCGACAGAGTTTGTCTGTCCATCCCGGGGATGTTTTGTTCGTCCATCCGTAGTGGGGCTGTCATCCTTGTCATCTCGGCCGCCTGTCGTGAATTGACCAGGCTGTTGTTCCCGGCCTGGGATGAATGGACCATGGACTGATGTTGACCCGCCATCGCCGACGGCTGTTGTTGTTGCTGCTGCTGTTGTTGTAGAGTGCTCGAGAGCGAGGAGTCGCCGCCGCCAGGCAACGGGCGGGTGGCAGCAGCAGGGGCGGAAGCGACGGAGGCTGGGGTGGGTGTCGCGGGAGTCTTTTGTTCACACGAGTCGCTCGAGACGCGGGGCTCGCTGTTGCTGTCAGTCGACGCGGAGGAGGAGGAGGATGAATGAGATAAATGCTGTTGGTGTTGTTGCTGTGAGGAGGAGGAGGGGGAAGAGGAGGAGGTGGAGGGGGTGACGGATGATGAGGATCGAGTGTCCAATGTTCCGGCGGCGCTGTATTCAAACGGGTGTGTTAAATCGTCATTTTTCATCGGGCCTGACGTTGTCGCGTCTCTGTCGCTATGGAAACGAGGGACTCCATTAGCGCCGGATAAAACGTTGTTGTTGTTGTTGTTGTTGTTGTTGTTGTTACTTATGGTAGGAGTTAAACATTGTTGCTGTTGTTGTGAGTTTGGCTGATGGTGTAGTAGGTGTTGCTGTTGTTGAGAATGGTGTTGATGGTGATGTGGTTGTTGATGTTGTAGCTGTCGAGTGTGTCCTGTGATCATTGTGTCTCGCAGAGGGGCTGGAAAGGTTGAGGTCGGGCCACTGGGGCTACACTCTGGGCCATTCATATGACTTAGCGAACTGGCCACCTCCCCGGCCCGCCCCTGCTGTGGGTCGCACTTGCCTCCATAACACGACGTTGTAAACGCGTAAGCGTGTTGCTGCTGCTGCTGCTGCTGCTGTGACTGTTGCGACTGGGAATTCACCCCTACAACAACCCCAGCGCGAGTACCACCACCACTACTATTGCTGCCAGAAGTTACAGCAGCGACAGCACTAGTATTGTTATTGAAATCGTCATTGTCACAAAACAAAATCGCGTCATTGTAGTTGTTGTTGGCGAGGTAATGATGCTGCTGCTGCTGCTGCTGCTGCGCGGCCGCCGCTGTTGCCGCTAGGTTTCGATCACTTTCCCCGCCATTGTCCGTGTTGCCCGCCGTGGCGAGGGAGACAGAGTGAGCGTATAAACCATGGCCTCGATCCAGCCTGCTCCCACTCAAAGCGCCGTTGTTACTGGCGGTAGTCGCGTGCGCGCCTGACATCGCTTGGCTCATTGCGCCAGGGTAGACAAGGCCCGGGTAACCATTGTCCGTAGAATCATAGTAAAAATGTCCCTCGGAACTCTGCTGCGCGTGGCCCGGTATCAGAGTGTTCGCGATGTCCTGGTGAATCTCGTTTCCGAGACCGCGATAAGTCTGAGTGTCGTGAGAACCGGAAGTTGCGTAGGGCGAGTTGGTCGCCGCCATCTTGCAATGCGACGAAGAGCGGAAGTCGCCTGTCACGGGGCCAAAGGGGGACGAGGACTGTGAAGGAAGGTTGGCAGGGAAATGAGGGGAGGGTGTGGGACAGAAGGATAAAGATGTCGAGGGGAGGGGCGATGGGGAGGAGGCCGTTATTGACTTCCGGCCGTCGTATTTCACGCTCGTCACTTCTCCGGACGATAGAGCAGAAGTAACGTGACAGTCCGTTCTCACGCTTTGTGCCAGGTCCGGGTGCTGCGAATAGAATCTGTCGAGAGCTTGGAGATCACACGTCTGCTGCTGTGTCGCCGCCAGTGGCTGCTGATGCATGATATGCTGATGAGAGTAAATGGAGGAGTGAGCACTTTGTGGGATTTGAAAGTTCATATTATGCGGATTGTCCTGATGTCTCCCTTGGCCTCTGTACTCATGAGAGTTCGTCGTACCAGATTTGCCACTCTTATTGTGTCTCAGACTAGGTTCTTGCCCACCGGGGGCAGAAAATGGCGCCAGGAGAGAGTTAAGCCCGGAGCTGTGGTGGCCAGGGGTGGGGCTGGTGTTGCTATGTAAACTGTCCGGAGAGCAGAGCCCAGAGTCGTGAGAGGACGCGTTGCTAAGGGCGGAGGGCTGGGGACTCCCGCTAGACGCTTGACCAGTGTCCGTGCTGACGTTTAGCTCTTCTCGTCCTGCCTTAGTCTGATCGGATCCCAGGTTTTTGTGACCTCCTTTCCCTGAACCCAGTTTATCTTTATGCTTCATAACATCACTAAAACTATCACTATTGTTATTGTTGTTCTTATTTACGTTACTTTGACCTCCTTTATTGTATTTCCTCTTTCGGGGGTTTGGAGAAACAGCTGGCTTTTCTGTGGCCAGTATGGGAGATTTCATTTCTAGGAAATTGTCCACGACGCTCTCGATCCTTCTCTCATCCTCTTCGTTCAGTTTTCGCATTCCGTTCTCATTTTTAATCACTTCATCGCCTCCATTATCACAGGCTGTGACTGGTTTACTAGAAAGGGTAACCGCATTACCGTCAGCATCCGTTTCGGAAGCCATCACATCCTCGACATCCTCCTCCATCTTCACCGTCTCCCCTGACAACGACTTGATGTCTTCACCAGCGTTGCTGATCTCGTCCAAATCCATCTCATCCTTGTCGCTACTCGTTTTCATCCCATTTTTGGAGCCTCTTCCTCCGTGGGACTGCCGTTTGTATTTCATTCTGCGGTTCTGAAACCAAACTTTGACCTGCCGTTCGGTCAAGTCAAGGGAAGCGGCGATTTCGATCCGGCGCGGCCGACAGAGATACTTGTTGAAGTGGAACTCTTTCTCCAGCTCTAGAAGCTGCGTGTTGGTGTAGGCCGTGCGCAGTCGGCGACTACCGGAGGCGTTGCTAGAGCTTCCAGTTGGAGCAGATGAGCTGGGCTGTGTTGGCGCGTCATCTGCCATGTAACCTGAAGCAAAAAGTAAGAAAAACAATGTCAGATGTAATAGTGCAAAGATTGACAGTTATACATACCTAACGATTACGATCCTTTGTTCCAGTAAAGAAAGGAAAATCGATACAACAACGGGCATTTGGAACAAAATACAGACGAATAGGAATAACAGTGACACAACAAAAGTGGCACCTACAAGTGGCACCCTTCACTCACTTACGTATAGGACAAGCAGATGGCTTAGCCAGAGTGCTCAAAATAATTTTATACTAACCTAAATGGAGACATTTTTACAATATAAAAACACTGACCAAAGTATGTCTTTTTAATAACGAAAAGACATGACGAACTGCTTACAAAATGCAAAAGTAACCAATTTGGACGGGGGGCATTCAAAACGAACCACACGGCAAAAAGAAATAGCCATTAACTTTGCAATACCAACAATTGAAGGCGTTCAAATGAAACAATTGTTTTAACCCTGTTATGTATCTATGTAGAAGGAGAGTATCTTTTTTTCAAAAGTGCAGGTCTGCATGGTTTCGTGTGGTTTGATATGATGATTGGCAGGCTCTACAAACCTATCAAGTTATCTAACTGCGAGCGTCATAAAACTCTTACTAAATTAAACCCACCAAGGCTCCCTATCTCCCCAAAACGTCGATGCGTAAGTCAAAGGAGGCAAAGGAGGGAGTCCTTACACAGATGTACCTTTACCAAATATGTGTCAATACTGATAAAGGAAAAGAATGAGAGTGAAAATGCAAAGGACTCCCTCCCTCTCTCTCTCTCTCTCTCTCTCTCTCTCT